CATACACCTGTGCTTACACACACATGCACAGATGCGCTTTTGGGGAAGACTGTACACTGGTTTTGCACAGTTGAGTTTTAAGCCTGTTTTCATTAGCATACATGAGGTTTTCCATTTTGACTTCTTCATGAAGCTTATTATGGAATGTGACAAGGACTGGTACAATTCCCCTGCTGCACCCATAGGAACTGAATTAGAGGGAACTTCATGAGCATACTGGCCTGCACAGGCATTCTGCCGAGGTGTGGTGTGTCTTCCCTGCCACAGTGGATCCTCTTTACATTAAATGAAATCCAAATTTCCCCAAATCTTTCCATAGTGGAGGTATCAGCATGCTGCCACATGAACACAGAGGAGGGCATGTTTAATTTCCATGAGCTCTGGAACCCCTCTTACTGACTTCAGTAGTTAGGAAACAGGAAGCCCACAATGATGGTGTTTCCTCTGCTTTTCTCTGCTCTTGGTGTTTCAGCCTCTTTAGTAGCACAGTGGAAGTTACTGCAGTGAGGTTCCTGAAGGAACACATTTCTCCTGCCGACCTGAGGACCTACTGGCTAGTTCTACACTGGAGGGTGAAAAACAAGCTTAGGAATAGGAGAAAGTATTCTAGTCCCTTCTACTTCATGTCCATTTTGCTGGGTCTTAGCCTAGCAGTCATTCAGACTTGAGGTGAGGCTCATCTCACCCAGCATTAGCTGTTTGCAGTACCTGATTTTGCTATTTTTTGTGTAGATGTTTACTTTTAGGTGGAATGGTCCATGACATGTACATGCGTGTTTTTCCCAAGTAGGTATTGAGGGACTTGAGGGTGAGTAGGACAGATACGAGTGTCAACAATTCGGACACTTTTATATGGCCAAGTAAATTCTACTAGAATGTTGCTTTCATACTAATAAATTAAACACGTGTAGTACTGTTCTTGGTCTTGAGGCCAGCTGGGATGGAGAGGCTTACTTCCATGCAATGGCTGTCTCACCCTCCAAAACAGGGTGGCTCTGTGCAGACTTCTTATTAGGAGTGACCCTGGTCCCTGCCAACTCTTGAACTATGCACAAGAGTTTTTTGGGAGAATGCTTCTGGCACAGACCAAAGCCATTCCAGATACTGTGCCAATAATTCATTCTATAGATTATCAAGTTCCTGCACCTGGAAATGTTTCCCAGAACTAGTGTAGCTATAGCTAAGGTAGGCACTGTTGTTTTAGGGAGAAGGGAGCCAATGAACTTGGCTGAAGCATTTCCAGTTCCACTTTCCGCTGCAGACCACAGAAACAAAAGGGTGGGTCCGTGCCATAATGTCTTTTGGCTCTTCCCTAAAGAAGAGCCTTAGGCTAAACTCAGTGATGGAATAAAGACTTATGGCATGGAAGATTGACTGCATTTGGTGTTCACTGGTCCCTTACCTGACAGATAGACAATGCCTTTCATGTAGTCCCAGAGGAGGGAATCGTGTTAGGGATGTACCCTGAATGATGCCTGATTTATACTCATGATAGCACATCATATTGTCACAAAGGGAGGTAGAGGTGACTAGACTGGAACTTCCATTATGGTATGGTCCAGGGCTTGATACATCTGGTGGGGATATCGATCAAAACTGTAACACTTCCCTCCCCTCTGCCACTCTAAAGTGATGAGCGCTAAGAAACATGGTGGATCGTCAGCACAGAAAATACATCAAACGTGGTTTTGAAATATCTCAATGTTGGAAGTTTCCAGTTGGGTGGGCAAGTTGCCTGTTACAAAAGGCATACAGCTTAAGCAACTGCTGTCCTAAAAGACTGTTAATATTAAATTAATTTTTAAATGTGAATTTAAAATGTGAATTTTAAAAAATTCACATCTCTATCATTACAGCCCTGAGCATTGTAGCTGCCTAGGTATTTCATAATAGAGTGTCTAAGCCCAGCAACACAGTGCTTAGTCTGCTGAACAGTGTGTGGTATTATCTAATTTAATAACATTAAACTAGGATGTTCTGATAATAATATTATTTGAAGGCTGTTTATTTAATACCATTTATATTTTGTATGTCGGTTGAATTTGGGAAGAAAAGAAGAAACTGGGGAGAGCGTGGTAGGAAATTGTGCAATGTACTTATCTGAGACTACATCACATGGTCTGCAAAGCACGGCTTTTGCTTTTATAGACATAGTCCTGGCAACTCTCCCACTAGCAACAATAGTGCTCAGACTCATACTGATGTCACTGCTGAGTTATTTAATTTGACTGAATGAGATTAATATGTTTATTTAAAACCTTGGTCAAAATGGAAAAGAAAATCTCAGGACAATACTTTTACACGAACATGTATGTTTTCGTATCTGATGGTTGCAGTGCTGCTTTAACTTATCAGGAGCAGTTGTTTATGCACACTAATGCCTGGGGGAACCCCTCAGATAAGAAGTGTGAGCCATTTTCCTTCCCAGCCTGGAGCAGAGACTTTTACACCAGTAGTGGTCCCATGGGCTTTCATCCCATGCTCTCCTCACTTCCTGTTGCTGCTTTCAGGGCTGATCCACAGAGATCCCAGCGTTATTCCATTTTCTCGCGTGAGGATGGGGTTTGGTGCTGCTGAGCAATGACAGCAGTGTGGTGGTGGATCATTCACAGGTTCTCTCTGGGGTGGTGAGCAACAGACACCTCCGCTGCACGCGATGCCTAGATGGGGCTGGCACTGGGCTCTGTAGGCTGAGCCTGCTCCCACAAAGGCTGGAGACTGCCTGCCTGAATTTTATTCACATTATGTTTTACCAGCAGCTTGACAGTTTTTTTCCTGTGATAAATCATTCTGACCTTACTTCGTTCTCACATGTACCCTCTAAGTGTTTGGAATAGACTTCAGTTTTGACTAAGAGACATTAGTAACTATCCAGTTAAATGCTCCAGGTCATTGGATTTTTGCTAATGCAGAGTGGGAGAAAAATCTGGAATCTGAAGTTTCTCTTTGCGTGGTGAGACAAGTTTGGGCTGTTCTGTGGAATTGATCATTGATTGCTGAATGGTGCGAATGGGAAGATTTCTGTCATGCTCTGCCAAGAGCCTCTCTTGACAGCAGAGAACAATTGCACATACACATAGATTGATAATGTAGAAATTGCATAAGCCAGAGCTCGATGCTGTGGTGGGTGCCTGAAGAAAGGTGTACCTGCCTTTCCTTCCAGTTTTGTAGTCTCTCTGTTCATATTTTCATGTAGCGTCCTGTTCACTGGTGCTTGGAATATGAATCTCTTGGGGGAATACAGCTTCTGCTGGGTCTTGTGACATGCCGAAGAGCCACTTGTATCCATTCTCCTGTCTGAAGCCAAGTGCTTCCATCCTCTTAGCTCTCTGGAGTGCTTTGGGGAATTTGAGCCCCTGCCCTCATCACTGCTGCTCTCATAGAATAAGGGAAAAGCTCCTTATGTTTACATGTATCTGTATTTCTCAGGGTGCTGGACATCTTAAAGAGTAATGCAGTTTGGCAAAGGAGTGGGCATGAGAACAAAACAGAAGGTCTAGGAGGAGAACAGCTCTAGGGGGTCACTATTGCTCAGCAAACGTTGCAATTTGTCTAAGAGGCTTTGATACCCTGGGCCACGTGTGCTTACTCTGTAGCGTGCTCCAGAGCTGTGTGATGCTGAGGGTATCAGACTGCCGAGAGTATCAGACTTGACAAGGAACCAGTCTTTGGGGTTGACCTCCTGTCTCAATATGTTGTACTTGTGCCTGCACTCTATGTCCCCAGGTGTCCTTGCAACTCTACAAGAGCTGTGCCTTTAAGGAAACTGCAGAGTAATACAGTTTGTGAAGCCATGCTGCTCCCAACATCAGGCAGTATCTGTCGTATCCTCAGTGGCTGCATATAAGCAGTGCTGAGGATTATGTGCAGGCCTTTACTGGTGGGGGACAAGAAGGACCCAAGGGTGGTCTAGGTCAGTCATGGAGCTGCTTCAAAGACATCCATTTAGGAGCTGCCCCCGCTCCAGCTTTAAGTGATCTTGTATAGTTCAGACCTTTAGACTTGGTGTGCACAGGGGGTCCAAGGAGTATAGTTAAAGCGTAAATAGCTTGACATACAAAGACGTTATTCCTCAGAGTTCCAGTCAGTGGAAATACGTAATTTTCAGCTAAAATTAAAAAAAAAAAAGAACACCCCTCAGGAACTAAACTCTTTCTGTTGGACTTTGTCAGATGTAGCAAGTCCTAGCAGAGGTAACTCAGGAACCATCCAGCACAAAGCGTGTCCAGGACTCTACGGTTTTCATCCAAAAAACTGAATTGTTGGAGACAGCAAAACAGTCTGGCAAGGCAAACAAGGCTTTTCTCTGGCATGTGAGAAAATGTAAATAAGCTTAGAGAGTAGCGATAGATCTTTCAAAGGCACTAAGTGAAATCTGGGAGTAGTTGAATTTTAAATTAATTTTTCAGTTAATATTTTACAACTCTTGACAGTCGAGTGATATTGGAGAGGCAGAGAGAGAGCTGAAATCAGAAAAATATTCTACTCAGTATACTTCCATAGAATTTGATATTACAGATTTAATTTTGCAGAGGGTGCTTGAGCTGAACCTACGGCTACCAGCATTTAAAAAAAAAGGGGGGGGTACTTTTTTTTTGGTAGTAAATATAACCCCAACCCTGCAGCAATTTGCCTAGTGTATTAAACTCTAAACCCAAATTGAAGTGACTGCTTTCCAAGGTCAAACTCTAAAATGAGTGTGGAGGGTAATGGGGAGGAAAGGCTTGGACCCAAAATAAACAGCAAAAACAAACAGAAAACCATTGAAAGGTCAGGTTGGACAGAGCCTTGGGCGACAGGGTTTAGTGCGAGGTGTCCCTGCCCATGGCAAGGGGGTTAGAACTAGATGATGTTAAGGTCCTTTCCAACCCAAACCCTTCTATGATTCTACAAAAACTAAATACAAATTTTGAATAATTTCTCTTTGAAAAGATTTTATTGAAGGAACAATTAAAGGGATGTGTGAAGCCTAACTATGTATTGTGTTGCTATTCCAGGCTTCATCAGCAGTATCTTAATGTTTGGAAAGTTCTGAGACTCACCCTGTTGGACTACTTGTAACCAGTGCCTGAGACTACAAAAGCGTATGTGTAGAAGGACCTTCCCGTGAAGGAAGCATCCATTTCAATATTGTGGAAACTCTGTGCAAGCCTTGCAAGGCAGGAGAGCAATTTGTGCTTCTGTTGACGCTCGTGTGTAATCTCTGCTTCTTATGCACTCCAGCACCCCTATCAGTTCCTTGTTCTCCTTTACCAGCCCTGCAGTGAAAAGGCTGCTGGGCTGGAAACAAGGAGATGAAGAGGAAAAGTGGGCAGAAAAAGCTGTTGATTCCTTGGTGAAGAAATTAAAGAAGAAAAAAGGTGCCATGGAAGAACTGGAAAGGGCTCTGAGCTGCCCAGGTCAGCCCAGTAAATGTGTCACGATCCCGCGTTCTTTGGATGGCCGGCTGCAGGTGTCTCACCGCAAGGGGCTTCCCCACGTCATATACTGCAGAGTGTGGCGCTGGCCTGATTTACAATCTCACCATGAGTTGAAACCACTGGAATGTTGTGAGTTCCCATTTGGCTCAAAACAGAAAGAAGTGTGTATTAACCCCTACCATTACCGGCGGGTGGAAACCCCAGGTAATTATGTCATCTGCAGATGATTCACATCTCCCTATTAGCTCTCACACTGGCAGCAGGTCTAGTCTTTGTGCATCCTGCCGAGTTGTGCTCTGAAATCTGAAAAGGCAGGCTCCGTTTGATGGAAGGACCCTGGGTCTTTACCTGCCTGGTGGTGTCACAGCTGCAGCAGTCAGGAGTAAGCGGGGAGTAAGGAGCACATTGCCCACCGGGTCTGTGTTGTGTTGGACCCCAGAGGGCTCCTGGATCTTGTCCAGGGTGCTGAAAGTTTATTCTCGATGGACCTGGGTGCTGGCTGCCCTCTGAGCCCTTCCCCTGCAAACTGGTGTCTGCTTCCATGAAGTCTAGGCTAGACTTAGCACGCTGGCTAGATTTATGTCTCATTGTTTGAAACCCAGCAATTGACTCATTAATGCACATGAAAAATGTATCATTCTCTTTTTAAAGATTACAGTTGCAGTAACATGGCTTATTTTGCTGTGGATACGAAACCCAATCAGTTGATTCTTCCTAAAATGCCTGGTGGCATGCCTTCAGTGGGATTTACATACCCAAATGGGTAGTTTATGTGAAATAAATGCCCGAAGTTCTCATAAAACTTTGAATTTTTCCACTGATGATCCTCTTTACATTGTACATGGTCAGCATTGAAAACTTATGACCTCAGCTGAAGGGTCATATTTACCTGGGCTTTGTGTCAGTGAAACAACTGTTAAAAAATAATGGTGTTTAGTGTTAACTTCTGTAGGGATCTTGGAAAGCAGGGCTGGCAGACTGCTGGAGCAATCATCCTGTTCTACTCTGCTCCTACTCACAAACCAAAACAAATTACCAGGTACATTCCTGACAGATCTTTTTCTAATGAGCTCTAAAATCCCATGTGGTAGAAGCTCCACAACCTCCCCAGGCAAGTGAATCTATTGCTTTGCTATTCCTATAGTCCAGAATGATTTCTAATGTCTAACCTAACTTTCCCTTGCTGCCAAAAATCACAGGAATTTAATTTACTAATGGGTACGGTTGGTAAGTATGTACTTATTATTCTGTGATTATTCTTTGTTTGGCATGAACTTTACTCTGAGGTGACATTAGGATCAGATAAGTGGGATGTTTCTTTTCACACAGATGAAATAAGGGAAAGACATTTGTTAACATTTGTTAAACTACAGGGGCTACTCCCTTTTCTGATAGTCCATCCACAGCAGGAGAGCTGTCATTTTGAAGCTGTATCCAAACTGCTGTAAACATTGTCACAACTAAAATTTTACAGCTGCAGTGAGTTGTCAACAGTTTTCAGTGGAAAGAGCTGATCTCCTGCCTTGCTAAAATAAACTCTTCAAGAATCTAAGAAAAAATGCTCATAAAATATCTTATTTTGTGTATCTTTTTCTTTGAAGGCTGTAGTCTTTGGTGTCTTCTTGTTTCTTCTGCTATAACTCCAGTGTAATTAATGGAGATTCCTCAGCACGATAGCTGACAGCACTGTGCAGGTCTGTTTTCGACCATTCTCTTCTGATCTGTTCAGTGCCAACTAACAATGCTAGTATTGGCATAATCTAGCAGCCGCTAAATGGCTGCCAAAGCTTGTTGTTCTGACCCTGAAACTCAGAAGGTTTCAGCTGTGAACATGTCTCTGTTGTTCTTCTGTGCAGCAAACTGAACTACATCTCTAGCAGTAAATGAGATGGGGCCAGGGCGCAGGTCTGAATATTGCTGGATTGGTGGTGCACTCCCAGGCACAGCTTTAACCCATGTGGACTCATAGGAAGTAGCAGTTCTCAGGGCACAGGGGTTTGCTCACAGGAGGGACTTTGGACACTTTGGATGTTACGTGTTTTTTTTAGAGGTGAAAGAAGGCACAGCTGCGAGGATTCAAGCTGTGCCGTGCCAGTTCTCCATAGGAACTGTTCTTTGGCTGTTGTGTTCTCCCCAGCTGCTCTTATGGGGACAGCTTAGAAGCTGAAGCTCACCTCCCTACTAAAGATGAGGTGCGGCAAGGAAGTACAGCCTATTCAGGTGTGCTGGGACAGCAGCAGGAGAGAGAACTTACACTACTGCAAGTGGCAGTAATGCAGCTCCAGGCCAGAGGCAGTTAGAAGCTGTGTTGCAAAGAGCTGGTGGTGAGACAGGAGAAGAAATGAGCTTGGGGAGAAAGTGGCAGCAGTGAAATCACCACAGAAAAGGCTGGGATCTAGGGCCTGTTTAGTCTAAAGAAGAGAAGGCCAAAAGGGGATCTCATTAATGCATCTAAATATCTCAAAGGTGGGTGCCAAAAGAATGGTGCCAGACTCTTTCCAGTGGTGCCCAGCACAGGACGAGGAGCAATGGCCATAAACTAAACCACAAGAAGTTTAACTTCAACATGAGGAAGAACTTCTTTACATTGACAGTGGCAGAGCACTGGAACTGGCTGCCCAGGGGGAGTGTGGAGACATTCTTTGTGGAGACATTCAAAACCTACCTGGACACGTTCCTGTGTCACAGGCTTTGGTCATAGCCAGGTTTCCAGCAAGAACTGTTGCACCTAAAGGGAATAGGAGAAAGCCTGGTGCAGGAAAGGCAGTGGCAAGACTTGAGACATGACAATATTTGCCTTCAATTGAACAAAGATTATCAACACTTGGGCATGCATAGAAGGAAGGATCCAACTCTGGTTCTTTATGGAGAATAGCAGGTAGAAGAAAAGGACCCTGCTGAGTGGAGACAACACAGGTAAGTTGTGAGGACAAACAGGTCCCAGTGTACTCAGTCACTCAGTTTCGTGCCTCTGGTCATACTTCCTTCAGAGTGGTAAGCCCTGGAGAGTGACATCTGTTACCAAAAGAACAAGGAGAACAAGGCCCTGTGGGGAAATTTTAGCCACAAACAAGAAAATCTCTGAATTTCTTACCACCACAAAGGCTTTAGCCCTCTAGGCAGCCTCAGAGCAGTCACTGGAAAGATTGAATGAGGTGGCAAAAACTGTACAGCAGAGCAGAAATTAAGAGTACCCTGGTCAGAGCTGGGAAGGAGTTCAAGGCTTGAAAATTCCTCTTGCTGACTCACTCAGGGCGAGTCAGAAGCTTTCCCTGGCAAGTGCTGTTCACACATCCAGAATCTCAGCTTCTATTTAGAGAAGTTGCATTGAGTTCTCACAGGGCTGAGGAAAGCCACTTCCTTAGCAGTGGTACCCACAACGAGGTGCCAATCTCCCAGTGCTGCACAGCATTGCTGTAGCAGAGCTATCCTGTGCTCAGCACCTCTGCTGGGTGCAAAGGGATCGCCAGTTCCCTGTTTCTAAGGCTGCTGGTCACAGCTAGCTGAGCAGCAGCAGACCTGGCAAGCATCATACCAGTTTTGTGGAACAGCAGAGAAAAACTCCAGAAGCAGCAGCACACAACCTGGAGCTGCTCACAGGAGCATGGGATGGGAGGGATCCAGCTCACCAAAACCACATCTGCAGTGGTGGTACCTGTCTTGTCCCAGTGTAGAGCAGATTAACTGGGCAGTAAAAGAGTCTGTTTCTTGCCATTGGCCATGAAGAGATCCATGGAGGACTGGGCAATGCATCTCACATGTGAATACCTGTATTTCTGTGAGTCCTACCTGGAAAGTCAAGGAAATCCAAAAAACTGAAGAAGCAATAAAAAAGCAGAAATACCTTTCTGTACTTAAGGACTTAAAAGGGTGGCAGCAAATTCTTCATTCCACAGGTAGGGTCATATCAGGGGCAGAAGCAAAGAAAGTAGTCTCCAGAGCACCACCCTTCTGCTGGACAGAAGCTAATTAGAAATGCATTGGGCCAGGTAAGGGTCTACATATAGTCTTAACAGGCATCCCAGTGCCTGTATTTCCAGACAGGTAAGAAGATAACTTCTGGAGTGAACCCCTGTCATCAGTCCAATCTTTTGTATGTTTTTAGGACTCAGTTCTTCAATTCATGAGTGACTTGCAAACTCCCAAATGGTATATGCCAGTGGGTAGGCAAGAGCAGGATTCAACCCTGCCCCAGCTGCAGCATAGTGCTACATCAAACAAGGGGTTGTAAACCTCCTGTTGGTACCAGGCACTGCTCCTCCTCCTGCTTAAACTGCCCCAGCTCTCTGAGCAGTCAGTGTGCACTGAGGGTGCACTCCAATGAGGGTGTTCCTACAGCCTCTTCTCATGCACGTGTTTTGCATTATCTGTACATTATTTGCTTTGTAGCAATTATTCCACTCTTTGATTATGCTGGATAAAAGAGTTCGCTGTAATTAAAAGGTGTTAACTAACCTACCTAAAAAGAATTGGCCTTACCTAGACAGAGCTTTTGGGACCAAATAATATGTTAAAACATGTTCAAACCATATATTCCTGTCAGTGTTTATAACCAAGAGTGCACACTGCTGTTTGTTTCCATAAGCTAGTAAGGATAAGACTGAAAGATTATGTGGTGCTGGGGTTTAGGCCAGAGGAACTCTGGACATGAGGTCAATCAATACAAGCCTGCTGAATTGTTCCTGGTGTTGGGATAATTCATTCCTGTCACAATAACTCAAATTGCCTCCTTATCTTCTCAGGTGGCTTTTAGATCTGCACAGTAGCAACTGGGGATTAATTCCCCCTACGTACATTTAAGGCCTTAGCTAAGATAATTAGGCACTATGTGAGTTAGTAACTAATAGAGAAATCTTGGGGTGGCAAGATTTGTGTTCCAGCCTAGGGGCTGCATCTTCATAGGTAACTCACTAGTTGGGTTTTCCAAAATGTTTTGACTCCAATTACCCTCTCTTACCTGATACGTCAGTATCCAAAATTATTTGGGTCAACCTTAGGTTCCTTAGTGCAGCAATGCTGTTAACAGCACTAATGGTGTGAGATGTAAATGAAGAGAGTTTACGAAGAGAGGTGATATCTTCTATTAGACCAATGTTTACATGGATTAATTTGTATTTCAGTTTTCTGACCAGCATTTTTCATGTCTTAACTACCAACCATTGACATTTGCCTCCTCATGCTAGATCTTTTCTAACTATATTGCAAGAGCTAAATTAGTATTGTTGCAATATTTGAATTGCCATTTACATTTCCTTTTAAAGATGCCACTGTCTGTCTGGCAGCATTTCCAAATACCTGAAAAGGTTTTAAATTGGGTGTCTAGCTCCAGGTCTGTGCTTCCTTTGCCCATCTGTGAACACTGGTAGTAAAATGTACAGTGTATTGCAGAGCACTGTTAATTGTTATTAAACTTGACTGTGGTTTTGGCAAATCCTGGTGATAGTCCTTAGCAAACTCCTGACATGCTCAGTCTTTCAGGATAGAAAGAATAGGTAACTTTGAAAGGGAGAAATGTGCCATCTCTTGCATTTCTGAAAGACTGTGTGTGTGCATGCCCTACCTGTGAATTTTATGGTATCTTGCTCAAATCAGGAATGAGTCTATATTTTGCATAAGGAATTGCTGCAACTGGCTGCAAATCTGCTTTTGATGCTTGGTTTTGGACAGGTTTGTTACCCTTCAATGACTTGTATATAGACAGCAAAATTTAGGCAGCATGAAATACTTGTCTTTTTACCTCACAAAGAGATATACTTTCAAGAATGCAGTTTTAACCAGGGTTTTTTTCTGTTCTCGTTTTTATTTTCAGTCCTACCTCCTGTACTCGTTCCAAGACACAGTGAGTTTAACCCTCACCTCAGCCTTCTCGCCAAGTTTCGAAACACTTCACTGCACAGCGAGCCGCTGATGCCGCACAATGCCACCTATCCTGATTCTTTCCAGCATCCTCCGTGCACTCCTTTTCCATCATCACCCAGCCACATGTTCTCTCAGTCGCCTAACAGCATCAGCTATCCCAACTCACCAGGAAGCTCTTCCGGACCAGGAAGTCCCTATCAGCTCACGGGTAAGAATGAGTTTTCAGACATCCTGATTGAGGTAGTTGAGTTTCTTGCCATGGCCTGGAGTCAGGTTCCAATTCTGTGTGCTTCCCCTGTAGCTGTAGCAACAGACTGAACTATTGGACAGGATGGATTTGGAACATGATTTCTTCTGACTGTCTCTTAATACTGGTTCCCAGTCCTTCTGAGTGATGCTCAAGGGCCTAAGAATTGTAGTCATCCCACTGGATGAGATTTCGTTATTACTGTAAGGGGAAAGTTGAGGAGAGGAGCAGGTGTGCTAGGCTACCTTCTGCCTAAAGCTGCCCATCCAAGCTTCTGATACAGTCCATGGAAAAGAACACTTGCAAGACCTAAGTTGGGCACTTCCAATAGAGATTGTCAAGCTAGGGACCTCTAGAAACTCCATCAGGGGAGACAGCATAAAATCAGGAAACTGGTATGTAGAAATATTTTTTAATGTATGGTGATCCCATCGACTGTATAAATTTATACAGGAAATTACGGTGTTTAACAATCAGGCCCAATACTTGCTGAAGCCACCAGGCAAATTCCTGTAATTTTGGAATGTGTTTCGTTATCTCCACAGTTCTGAGGTCATCAGGGTTATGTCACTCAGATTGTTTGCATTGTGAACTCCTTACTTAGTGCTGCTCTAATTACCTGAGATTTGAGTATGCTTTTACTGTTAAATAAACCAAGAAGGTGTCATGTACACAGCTGAGATCTGGCTTTAATATCAAAACATAGTTAAGATTCGTTTCTGCACTTCGTTGTAACTCTGAAATAGTTTCAATCATCTCAGCTTTTTCACAAAGATGAATTCAGGTCACAGTCTTGTAGCTTAATGTTTTAATGTCTCGACTACAAAGCATTTAAATTCATGTCCTTAATGATATGCCTATTTTGATTTTAAGTGTAAGAAAGGTGTTTATTTTTACAAGGTATTTTTAGTATTTGAACTTTCTTTTAAGCTGGACAATTTCAACACAGTGTGATGTGTTGAAAGTGTTTTCCTTCCCTCTCCATTCATTGAATGGACCTTCATTCATTTCTTCTCTAGATCTATGCTTCAGATTAAATCATGTTTAGCAACACTGAAGCTTTTCATCAAGTAGTAGGACTTGTTTGTCTTCTTCCATCTTTCCTTTCACTTTTGTGTAATCAAGCTGGATTTAGGTGGAGCTGGTCCTGACAGGTAGATCAGGCCCATTCCATTCTATGTAATGACTCTGACTGCATTTAACTGAACTTGGGACCTTGCAAAGCTACTTAAAAATGGAAGTGGCTCAACCTGAGCTTCTGTATATCACAGCACATGGCATGCTGATAAGCATAATTTGCCTGTGTAACAATCAGGGGTAGAAGACTATCTAAAGCAAACTGGAGTTACATCAAGAACCTTGGGTGGGCTTGGTGTGACCAAGTCAACAATGCGCATTTCTACATCTCATGCAATTGTTTATGCTCTGTCTGTGATCAGTGGAGAAAACCAAGCACTCCTAGAACAACATACATTACATCTTAAGGTGTATGTCTAAAGTAGTTGAGATGCACCATGTCTGCAGGTGCCTATTTTTCTTTAGTGAGTAAAAAGAGAGTGTGTGGTTACTGACTTAGGTGTAGACATTCAAAATACCTGTATGACAACATCATATTCCTTTCTCTGACTTGTATTCTTTTCCACTCTTTCTTGATTTTGTTTTACTCTTCTAGCTTGTTGCATTTTCTGTGAGGAGGTTATGTCATTTTATATGTTAGAAATATCATACAGTGTATGAAATTCCTAAATCCTGGACAATTCTTAAATAGAATAACATTCCTGTGCAGTACTTACTTGGAAGATTCAATGTTTGTCTTGTGAGACAGTCCAAATTATCCACTCTGAGTGAAGCTGCTCTGTTTTGAGGGCCAGCCAGAAGACCCCAAACACAAGAGGAAATTTCAACCTGGAACCAAGTTAAACCTGAGTCTCCTTAAAAAGACCCTCAGTCTTTCAAGCTTGTATATGGCTATACTTTACACATAAGCCCGCTGAGTTTCTGTTCAAATAAATAAAGCTATATGCTTTAGTGCTTATGCAGTGAATGTTGACATTTTCTAACATGTCCCTTCTTCTTTGGCTTTCTAAAACCTTCTGTCTTTCTTGAGATCCCCTCTATTAGAGTCACCTTCTGTTTTCTAGCTTACTGTGACGTAAATGAAATAAATCAGGAGCTGGGCAGGTTGCGAGTTGATACCTCTTCTACATGTTTTTTCATCACTTCTGTTGCTCTTTGATGGGAAACTGAACAAACCAGAAGAGGGACTGCCTTCCCTTGTAGGAGAAAGGTATAAAGGACAAATCTAGAGGAAGATTTCCCAAGTCTGATTTTAAAGCATAAAGGCTTTCCGTAGGCTTTTTTAATAGCCTGTGAAGAAAGAGAGCTTTCTCCCAGAGGATCAGTTGATGCTTTTAAATCATCCTCTTCAAGTTTTCAATTTGTGAAAGAAGTCTGGAACTGAACGATCAAACTGCGTTACTTTCTTAGGGTAACAACTGGTGTTAATGGAGGGATTGACTGGACACCGGTCCAGGCCTGAGGCACTAGCTGTAATTGTTCCTCTCTCTTTGAAGTGCAGCATGTCCAACATGACAGCTTTCCTTCCCTTCCTCCCTGAACATGTAATGGTCTTAATCGGGAGACTGAAAGGAGGTCAGGTTCAGATTCGTGCTGTTTCCAGCCCTTCCTAGCTAAACAATGCTGAAGAAGTTAAGTATTCATTAGGAAAAGCCAGGGAGAATTTACTGATATATTGATTTAGGTGTCTTTTCTTTCTTTTCTTTCTTTCCTTCTTTCTAATAGTGGAAACTCCACCTCCACCTTACCATGCAAGAGAACCTTCAGGAACCCACAATGGGCGGTCAATGGATGCAATAGCTGAAAGTCAACTAGTGCTGTCTTTGCCCAATGGAGGTAAATCTGCCGATGGAGAAGCTGAAAGTAAATAACCATTTGTATTATTCTTAAAAAAATAAAGCATCTGTTAAGCAAAGAAATATTTATTTGAACAAGAAGTTTCAGTGATCTGTCATAATAGGTTTCAGACAGTGTTGCTGTAAGGTTGTGTACTAGACCCATCCATTAGCTAGCAAAATAGTTTGATTTAAGAATTTAGTGAATTATGTGTGAAGTTAGAGAGTTTAGTCCTTATTTACATTCATGAACTATTACATTTGGAAAGCTGTTAATGAAAGCAAACACTATTATCTACGTTGTACAGACAAAGATATCAAACCAAGGATAGTGAGGCAATATAACACACAAGAGCACTATAAATATCAGAACTGATTTCTTTATCACCTTCAGTTCTGGGTTTCGAGTACTTTAAAGCCTTGTGGTTAGGACCTTTCTTACTGCCATCTTTGTATTAATGTTACATTACTGGATGGCTAGATAAGAAAAGGACATGTTCTAGTGAAGTACAAAGAGGTTTTTATGGACGGCCAAACTCTTTGTCCTCATATAAGAATGCTTTGCTGGGAGAGGTCATGGGTAATCAGAGTAGAAGGGTCTGGGATCTTCCTTGCTCCCCTCAAAGCAACTTCATGATCTCTCCAGCATGGTCTCTGTTACCTCCAGACTACTGCTGGCAGGTCATACCTCCACCATTCAAAGCCCATTGCTGCAGAGCAGCAGGGGGAAATGGAGTTTCTCAGCCGGGTTTTCTTCTGGCTTCCTGCTACTGCAAAGGAAAAATCACCATTGTTCTTTAAGTCCAGCATATTGTAGTCCTAAACAGATGTCCTTTACGGCATGAGGACTGAACACTGCACACAAATGCACATTAAAAAAATAATGCCAGCTGTCTGAAACAGTGGGGAACATGTATGTATCACAGAACTGGAGCTGAAGGACGATGAGGGTGACAGTGCTAATTACAGATGAATACACAGAATGACCAGATAATAACTAGGTATTAGGCACCAGTACTTTTAAATAAGTTGTTGAGATACTTCAGTCTCTTTACCATAATTTATCATCCCTGATCATTGCCCTAGTGAGTATCAGTTAGAAGTTTGTTAGAGGTTATGCTTAGAGGTGCTCTGGGGGCAGGAGGGCTCACATGCCTGTGGTGGACAGGCAGGATAAGGTTTCCCACTAACTCCTGTAGGATGAACGAGGCTCAGAGATTCTGTTACATTCTTGAGTCTTTTTCTGTCTCTGAGTTAGAAAACCCGGGCAGGGGCAGGGGAAGATCCAAAAGAAATGACCTTGCTGACATTTCTTCTGGTCTCACATGGAAGTGGAAGGCCTCAAAGCATGCAAAAAACTGGGGGAATGATAGATTACTTCTGAACTTCAGAGTTTAATATTAGGCTGCAGGTTTGGCTCAGTTTTGACTTGCTTTGAGCCCATCTGTCACCCCTAGCTCCTGCGGGTGTGCAAAGCAGATGTATCCCTTACTATTTTAGTGCAGAGATTGGGCCCCAGTTCAGCAAGGAATGTCTGCATGTGCTTAATTTAATGCGGTGGTATTATCACTTTTAAGAACAAGTGGGACTCCTCAGAGGCTTAGAGTTAAGCTGGTGTACCAGCGCTTTGCATGTTTGGGCTTCAGTCATAAACTTAAGAAACAGAAGGTGCTGTTGAGAGAAAGCATGATAAGTGACTGTTTAGATGAGAGCTTGGGGGGGGGGGGGGGGGGGGGGGGGGGGGGGGGCGAG